AAGATGGCCCCTTTCCCCACAGCCATAGCACCTAGGGCTGTATCTTTTATTGTGGTCGCGAACCGTAACTGCTGTAACCTCCCTAGCGTAAGGTGAACGATGATCCTGTCGCCGCCAGGCAGTGTCGTTAGCTGCACTACCCTCTCGAGATCGTTCAACTCTCCTTTCCACGGTTCGCTTAGGGCAGCTGATTCGAAGATGGCCCTTTTCCCCACAGCCATAGCACCTAGGGCTGTATCCTCTGTTGCGGTCGCGAACTGTAGCTGCTACAACCTCCCTGACGCGATGGAAACGATGATCCTGCCGCACGGCTTCCACTTCCAGTGCATGGGCCACGGCGTCCTTAAGCGTCTCGTGGTGCTCGAGCCTCACAGCAGCTCTGACTTCCAGGTCGCGGATGCCGTCGATGAATGTCTGCACCAGGTTCCCTTCAATGAGCGCAGGTACAGACCGGTATGCTTTTCGCACCAGCTTCTCCACTTCTAGAGCCCACTGCTGCAGGTTTTCGTTGATGCGCTGCACACGATCTTTAAGCTGCGCACGAAAGACGTGTTCCAGGTGAGCGTCACCATATCTCGCCTCCAATGCCTCAAGGAGTTGCTCATAAGTCACTTCCTCACCGAGAGCTTCCAGAACTGTTAAGGCCTGGTCGCGCAGGCCTAGTGTGAGAGCAGTCATGGTCTGACTTTTATTCCAGCCGTTCGCCTTCATAACAGCCTCGAACTGGATTTTGTAGGCTGACCAGGAAGAAGTCCCGTCGAACGGCGGCACTTTGAATCCACGTAGCGAAGGTGTTGTGGCTACTTCGGGAGCTGTTGTTCCATCCCCAAGTTTGAGGTCGTCCAGCGTTTTCTTCACGTCAGCCATTACGTTGTCAACCCGATTGTTTACTTGGTCGATTCGGGTTTCGGCCTCCAACAGGCGGTTGTCATGTTGAGCAACCTTATCCTTCACCTCCCTGATCTCCTTCCCGAAGGTAGCGTGAAGGTCCTTCATGAGGAGCATCTGCTCTTCCAACCGACGGGCCTGTTCCTCTTGTCCGCCCCGCAGCTGCTCTTCCAAACGACGGACCTGTTCCTCTTGTCCGCGCTTCAGCTGCTCTTCGAACCGACGAGCCTGTTCCTGCAGCATCACCATCAGAGCGCCTAAATCAGGTGCTGCAGATGCAGGAGCTACTGACGGACCGGCCTCCGTTGCCGGCGGCTGGCCCTCCGACGTCTGCGGCGTTGCACCACCAAATCTTCGTTGGTCCGTCTCCTGCTGGCGTTGACTTCGGGTACGGACACCCTCCGTTTCCTCCTTAGGTATAATCGGCATTATTTTATCCCACTTCTGACACCAATTGTTACGAGCTTAGGGTTCGTGACAATAAAAATTGCCGATAAAATTACCTAAATTAACACTTTAATTTACTTTACACAAACTAAAGTTAAAAACACTAATAATTAAACACACTAATTCACTTAATTCCGCTCCGAAGCTTCGCTTGTTTCTTCAAATCAACTCTGCCCGATCGCATCTTGCAGTGCCTACTTATATAGATTAGCAAAATATCCAGAATGTTCAAGTAAACACGCGCAAGGTACCGAGAGTTCGAGTTTTAACCTTCAAGAAGTTTAGTTCTTCGGTTCGAGACTAGATGGCGCTAGTGCGCCGATTTGAGGCATTGGAGCGCGTAACATTATTTTACAGAAGAGGGCCATTAGAGCAATATATAATTTATAATCAAAAGAGTCACTGAGACAAAAATTTAAGGAAATTATTATATAAAATCTGGCCTCTCAAGACATTTATGAAAATAATATGTACGTACACAAAAATAAAAGTAGTTTTGCGAAAATAAGTGATATTCATTCTGTAAATACTAGGAGCAGAGACAAGCTAGTAGTACCAGTTACTCGACTCCACCGAGTCAGTAATTCATTCTTGGGGCGATGTATACGCTTTTACAACAAAATCCCAGATAATATACAAAATTTGTCATACACAAAGTTCATAAATGTTATTAAACTAAGTTTGTATAAAAAGGGTTATTACAATATTAAGGAATTTATGGATGATAATAACCCCTGGGAAGAGTGATCGCTACCAAGCTATTTCTAATTTGTGTTGTGTTGTTAATTGTAAACATGATTGTAAGCTATTATTGGAAAAAAAATAGTCCCGCTGGGTTTCTTGATCGTTCTTCCCAGGACAGAGGTTTTTTTTTGCGAACCAGTGGTAAATGAAAAAAGTAACTTTCAAAAAGTATTGTTATAATGTACATTGAATAAAAAAGTTTCTATTCTGTTCTGTTCTGTTCACATAAGTTAACTAACAAAGTCGCCAAAAACAGATGATTATCAAATGTTTATTAGGTTTCCAACTAAATTATGGCTTAAAAGCATAAATATTGTGAATTGGCGTCCGAAACAAAATGATCATATTTGTTCTGAACATTTCACAGACGACTGTTTTATTAGACATGAGAACTGCACCACTTTGGAAAAGTGCAGTATTCCGACAATATTTTACTGGTATAAAAGTATTAGATTATTAAATTTGAATGTTTTTTTTTTTTATTTCTTCTTTCCTCATTTTTCCATAAACTCAAGGGCCATAGCCAAGTATTGAAAGGTCACGTTGGATGTGTGTTAGTGGGCTGTGGCTAGAGGAGATTCCTCTCGCTGTAGTCAAGGCGAAATCGTCCGGGAAGAGGAGTCTTGGTATGGCGATTGGCGATGCGATGCCACTCGGCTATCCTTCGCGACTTTGGTGAGGCTGCACCTCTTGTTGCTTCCAAGTGCTCGTTTTTTCCTGGTTCCATTCACATATCGGGCTCAGGGAGTCCGTAGTGCAGGTGGAGTCAGAGGCCGTGAAGGGCAGTGTGCCTTGTATTTTTGGTGCGCCTTATCTGAGAAGATAAACGGGGGAAGAAATCAGCAACTAAGGAGGGGCTGCCATTGAGTGGCTGGCGCCGGAGGGGCCGCGGGTGTCCATGAAAGCGTTTCCGTGGCCCTGTCAATTTGCGGAGGAGGTAGAACCCCATGAGGTTTTAGTGAGTGCGAGTCTAGAGATTTTATTCTCTCTCGAGTCTCAAGATTTAATTTGTGCTGTAACTTCGTTGTGGCCCTACTTTAGTTTATTTCTTATTTATAAATTCTGGCCATCGTTTACATTCACGGTTTTTGGCAACTTTCTCTTGCGCAACATCCACCGAAAAAGGCAATTAAGTGTCGATATGCCAAGCCCCCTAGAACACATGGCACTGCCGAAGCTGGAAAGCTTAGGAGGATAACCATTACCACGTCCGTGGAGAGTATAGTAGCCAAACAAAATATGCCGTGGTCCGTCCGGTATAGTATACTATCCAAAACGACACGTTGTAAATATTGCCATCTAGTTTAAAAATGCCGAAATAAAAGAACATTGTCCTTGACAAAAATGATTATCTATGAAATATTTCACTAGAAATAACAGAAGAGGGCAGTGTTTAGTGTTTGGGTGCACAGAATTAAAAATAACAAATTCAGTCGAATTGTCATGAAAGTGTTTCGAAACACCAGTGATTATGTCGTATTTCGTTTTTTTTTACTTAATTGTAGATTATTGTACATCAAAATGAACTTTAGAATTTGTACTTTGTGATAATACTTAGGCGACAAAGTTTCACGTACAAAATCGGCTCTAATTTGAACTTAAAAATATTGTTGTTACCAAAAAATGACGTCTTTGTAATTCACAGTCTCTAGTCGTCTTGTTTATGATTAATTTACGTGTTATTCAGTGAAGTAATAGTAATTTAATTTCTAATAAACATACTCATACACTTTTTAGGTAAAAATATATTAAAATGTCAAAGGATTCACAATTAATATCATTGTGGTCTTCAGATTTTTTCGTATAGCTAGTGCGGTATCCAGGGACGTTACCACAAAAGTTATAAATAAGGGCCTCTCGAAACGAGGAAGTGTGTTTCAATATTTAATACTGCTTGATGTAATCACTTGTTTTTTTTTTTGTAAATAGATTGATTGTGTTGATTCATTTTCACACTTGTTTCGTGTTTCGAAAATCGTATTTGCACACTTTTACTGTATTTTAAGTTTTAATGTGTTTGTGTTTTGGGTTATTTACCTTTTGTGATATTTTTTTTGTTCTAATTATTTCAAAAGTCAACAATTTATTCCTCAGAACTAATGCAACACATTACGAATTTTTTATTTCTTCTAATGAGTCATATCCAAAAAAGTTGTACATATTTTCATATGGTACTCTCCTTTATGTGTCCTAGTAAATTTTTCGATTTTATTTTGCAAAAATAATATTGAATATTGTCCAAATTGTCTAACAATATACTAAACTAAACAATTCATTTGTAAAATGAGCAATTTTTTAACAATACTAGCCAAAAATACAATTTCATTTCATCAAAATCGCATAATTTACGAAAAAAATAAGTGTCCTAAATTTATTGCAACTTTTAAAAATCGTTTTACCAATGATGTGCTTTTATTCTGCTGACCTAAACAAGCTACACCAATTGAAAATTACATACGTAAAAAACTAATTCATGAGATAATATCCTGCCGAAGTTAATAATTTAACAATCTATAAAACTATAAGAAAAGTTAGATTATGGCACCCATAGATAAATAAATATGTATGGCACCTCAATTTCTTGACACAATTTCATGACTTCCTGACGTCAGTAAATTGTAAAACATGGTTAGGCCGAGTTCACATGGCAAAAATGAAAATAATTATGATATTTTTTCTACTGTTTTGTGTCAATATATGTTTTCTATCATTGTATCTGTATTGCATCATTTTCAAATGTTTAGCAAAAATGTTTATTCATTTATTTTGTGAATATATGTAAAAAAAACGCCACAAAAATAAAACATAATATTTCTTTATTTTATATCAAAAATAAAAAATAATTAACGAGCTACTTTATTTATTATACTGATTTATTTGTTTATTTTTATTTTGTTATACTGATTTTTTTGTAATTTTAGATGCAGTTAACTGGCGCAGAACGCCAAAAACGGTATTTAGAACGGTTAAAAATAGAGCAACCGGAGAAGTATGAAGAAAAGCGAAAGAAACATCTTGATAAAATAAAACAGCGACAAAAGAAAATTGCAAATTTATCAGAGGAAGAAAAAACTATTCAAAGAAAAAAATGGCGTGAGGCAAATAAAAAAAGAAAAGATAAGAAACAGGAATTTTTACAAAAACAGAATGAGGAAAAACTAAAAAAAGGAGAGAAATTCTAGCCGCTTTATACAGAAGTAAATTAAAAATAGAGAATGAAGAACTTCGTAAAAAGGTCAAAGAACTTAATTGCTCTTCAAAAGAAATTATACCGTTGTAAGAAAAAGAATGAACAATTAAACAAATTAGTTAATGATGAAACAGATTCAAAGGATATGCAAGTATTGAGCGAACCGTTTTCAACTTATGACGAAGGATATACCAATAATGTGCAAACAGAAAGGACACCAGTCGCTACTCCGTTAAGCAAAACTATCTCTTTTATGGATTTTTTGTCATCACCAATCCCAGATATCGATAAAAATAAAATAAAGAAGAAAATTTTCGAGCTGAATGTATTATCAAATTCTCTTGAATCACAATACAAGAATACTAACACAAATGTATCAAAAGCGCAAATAAAAAACATTGCTGATTACGAGGTTACCAAAAAGTATCGCATGAAATCCAATTTTTCACTGAAGTTAGGTCTCAAGGGAAGGATAAGGAATCGTCACGGGTCTAAAAACCCAAAAAACAGAATATTAGAACAAGAGATTAAGAATTTTTTCCTTCGAGGTGACATAAGCCGCTCTACAGCAGGGCGAAGTGAAATCAGGACTCGGAATAAGATAAAAATGCAGAAACGCTTTTTGACAGATACCATGGACAATTTATACAAAAATATCAATCAGAAGGAGGAAAAGCATCTCGAACAACTTTTGAGCGATATAAGCCGTTTTATGTTATAAGCCCTAATGTGAATGACAGAAACACTTGCCTGTGCACAAAACATACAAATTTACAATTTAAAGCAGATAAACTAAAAGCTTTAGGAATTCTGACAACCAACTCGCTGTCACAGCTTGTGAAGGAAGTTGCTTGTGACTGTAATTCCAAAATCTGCATGTATTCTTCTAGTGAGTTTTGTAAAGACAAAATGCCTGAAATGAGCACTGAAATTAATGACGAAAAGGAAATACGTTGGTACCAATGGATTAAAAAAAATGAAAAATCATGAATATGTCAAAGGCAAACCGGGATGTTCAAAGACTATTGTCACCAAGAGATATACAAAAAATGAAATTACTGGAACTTTAGAAACTTTAGTAAAAATTTTCAAAGAAGAACTGCATGTCTTCAAGCGTCACTATTTTAACATAGTAACTCAAGCTTCAGCTTTCAAAGTGTGCAGAGAAACGATAAAAGAAGATGAGATTATTATAATTTGTGATTTCTCAGAAAATTTCACGTGCAAAATGTCTGAAGAAATACAATCTGCTCATTTTGGCGCAAGCAAAAATCAATTTACTTTACACACAGGGGTGATTTATTAGCAAGGAAACAGTCCTATCTCATTTTGTACCATATCGCCATCGCTTTCTCATGATCCTGGTGCGATTTGGGCTCATTTGAAACCGATCATTGAATACGCCAAGGAAAGATGTCAAATGGCACGAGTCATTCACTTTTTCTCCGATGGACCTTCGACCCAGTATCGTCAGAAAAGAAACTTTTATTTATTTAACAAAATTATTGGTGAAAGCATCTTTGATTACGGTACTTGGTCCTTTTTCGAAGCTGCGCATGGCAAAGGCCCTGCAGACGGCGTAGGTGGTGCCGTTAAAAGGAAGCTAGACCAATTGGTTGCTTACAAACATGATATACCATCTGCAGAAGCTGCGTACGATCTACTGAAAAAGCAAGAAACTGAAGTAAAAATATTTTATGTCTCGGAAAAATATATAACCGCTATCCAAAAAACAATACCTGATAACCTAATACCTCTGACAGGAACGATTCAAGTTCATCAGATAATTACACATAACTGTGATGGGTCGATTTTTTATAGGGATGTAAGTTGTTATTGCGAATCTGAAAATAGGGGGCTTTGCAAATGTTATAATATGAGAAAACACCAACTGATTCTTAAAAAGGAAACCGTTACTAAAAACGACCAGCAAAGGACCCTGAAAACAGGAATAATTCAGGCAAAAGAAAGAGAAATACGGACTCTACAGACACAGAAGTGGACTCTGATGTAACTTATGCTGAAACCAGTGAATGTGAAGGATATGAGATAAGTGAAGATCTAAGCAGTGAAGATGAAAGAAAATGTACGGAGGTTCATGATAATAAGGAAAAGCTTAAGACAGAACAAAAAAGTACTCGTAAGAAGAATATGTTCGTGGACAGAGAGATAACAGAAATGGAAGAAAGAAAAATACTATTTCCAGAACAAACAATGAAAAAGAGAATAAAAGACTTAGACTTCATGAATCAAACTGTAACTTACAAATATAAAAATATTACGTGATATTGAGGTGGTCAATGTCCTAGACGAAAAAACTGGACAATTTATAATATAAGCAAACAAGAATGTAGTTGATGCCGTTTCCAAAGATGCTGAAATTCCTAAGATTGGAAATTTTATTCTTACAAAATTTTATTCAAAACATTTAACGAAAATTTACAGATATGTATGTTTAATCGAGGATATTTATGGAGACAGCATAGTTGTAAAAGGACTGAAATCAAAAAAAAAGTAAAAATGTGTTTCGAATTGTTGAGGACGATACCTCTAATAGATTTTAAAGACATTATTGAATTTTTGCCTTAAAAGAAAATGAAAATTATATTTTTAGGCGAGCTATAGATATTAATGAAGCATGATCAAAATAACTTTAATTGTTAATATTTTCTGGAAGTAATGAACCTGTTATGTTAATATTATGATGATTCTTAGAGTTAAAGCTTTACTTTCTGATGCTTTACTTCAGATTGTTCTATATAAGTAATAACATTGTTGTAATGAGTACATGTTAAAACAAATGCAAGGAATGTTATTTTTTGTTTTGTCTAGAAGAGTTTTTTTTTGTTTAATGTTGTAACTTAAACAGTATACTAGATGTTACGAGTTTGATTTGTAATACTAGTAAGATACCAAAGTAATTCGTGAGTAAAATACTGATGACTGATTTTCAAATATTTTTTTACTATTCCAAACACACCTTTACATTTACAATTTCCTAACATTTCTTGACAATACCATTTCTTAACTATTTCTTGACGTACATTTTTTTTGGATATAAGTCCTATAAAATTTACTTTGTTTAATACGTTTTTTTCTTCGGGGACGACTATTTAGCAAATCGTTTTTTAATTTTATCGTTTTAAGCCAAAATTATAAATCATTAAAATATTTTATCACTTATTCGTATTTAATTCAACCTTATCGTGTATAGAAAGCCTTAAACGGACGGCCATATTCTTCAATTTGAACGACGCGCGACGACTCGGCAATTGTCAAGAGGCCGCCGCGAAATTGCAAGGAGAATGTATTTTGATTTGATTTGTTTATCTACTTAGAAATAGCTAAACAAATCAAATCAAGTGTTTTGTTGGTAAAAATTACTATATTTAATGCTTACAAAACATATTTATGCAAAGTTTTTTTATTTTTCACTCGGGAAATGATATTAAACCTTATTTTAAGTATAATAGATTATCATTATCAATTTTCCAAATAGATAAGTTCAATCTATAAACGTTTAGCTATTTTTCAATATTTTTATCTTTTTTATAGCTATTATATTTTAGCTGTTACAAAGGTTTTTGTTACCGAGCATACCGAGCAGCAGAGATAGATTCCTGCGGCTTGAGGCAGCGAGTAGTCGGACGTTTGAAGCATCGTTACCAGCGCGGAGTGGACGTTAGAGTGGACAGACTTAGGAATGAGGATATCGGCAGTAGAACCAGAGTGACCGATATCGCCCAACGGATTAGTAAGCTGGAGTGACAATTGACCGGCCATATAGCTTAAAGAACCGATAACCGATGGGGAAAAAAGGTTCTCGAATGGCAGCCTCGTACCGGCAGTTGAAGTGTCGGAAGTTCCCCCACTAGATGGAGTGAAAACCTGGTTAGACATACAGGAAGTTTATGGGTGCAGGTGGCTCAGGACCGTGCTTTGTGGCATTCCTTGGGGGAAGCCAATGTTCAGCAGGCCCAGACGTTATGGGTAGAGTCCATCTATCCATAGATTCCATTCTATTTATTTAGATATCGGTAGGGTATAGAATTTTTATCGATATATTTTGTCGCACTGTATTATCTCTGTTATTAGTCCGTGTACGTGCACTTCTGCTGTCAGCGCCAAAATGGCGCAAATCAAATTGCCTCATCATGTCTCGATGTACAGCCAGCCCAGCGTACTTGTATATATAGAGGTCAGTGGTTGTCAGTCATGAGGACTAAGATGGGATGCCTCGTTTCCAGTAAAAAGAGTCTACACTCACCATACGAAACATAACAGTATTAAGCTGCAATTTTACGCTGGTATTCTGTGATATCCTTCCCCGGTCGAACCGACCCATTCATGCTACAACCATAATATAGCTGCAGCGTGGCTACACCACGTATAAAATCATACGCCAGTATATTCTAAGTCTATGGTTTTATTGTTTGATTATTTGTTTATTTATGCAATTTAGAATGTGAACTGGCTGCGCATGGAGACGATGAAACAAGTGTTTCGATGTTGTTATAAACATCAAGTTATTTCCTCCACTTAGGTACTCTAAGAACTTGATAATGTCGACATTCATCGCCCGTTGGGTTAAGTGGTCTTCAAAATATTTCAAGAACTTCTCAATTTGATGTATCGGAATAATATTGTGAAGAAGTTTAAAATAATTTATTAAAAGGATAATTTCTTCTTAATTAACACTGGCAAAAATATAACCGTACGAGTCCAGTACCAAAAAAAGAAATATATTGCTAATGTCACTGTCAGTGCCTGAAGCCGGACACTAGGGATGTTCGATGTTGCGGAAACATCAATGATGACATCGATGTTGGTATCGATACCTTAACATCGATGTTCGATGTTTCATCATCATTACAGCCCTTCACAAGTCCACTGCTGAACATGTACCTCCCCCAAGTAACGCCACAAAGCACGGTCCTGAGCCACCTGCATCCATCGACTTCCTGCATGTCTTACCAGGTCGTCACTCCATCTAGTGGGAGGTCGCCCTACACTACGCCTACCGGTACGAGGCAGCCACTCGAGAACCTTTCTTTACCTGTAGAACCTGTAGTTGGAAAAGCCATATAAGCTTAATGTGTGATAAATTAGATAAATTCGTTTATGCACTTAAAAGACTAACCAATATAACAAGTAAAGAAGCTGCTATAACAGCTTATCATGGATATGTAGCGTCCGTGCTACGGTATGGTTTATTGATCTGGGGCAATTCAACGGTTTTTAATAGAGCATTCCTCATCCAAAAGAAATGTGTACGGGCGATTTGTAGATGTGGACCTTTTGATTCTTGTAAACCACTTTTTAAACAGTTAAAACTTATGACATTGTGTTGCATGTACGTATATGAAATTGGAACATTTGTAAAAAAATATCCACATTTATTTCAAAGATGTATTGATAATTATACAGATAAAACATTTCCGCATAGAGATGTTACAAGATTAAATTTACGAAAGTGTAAAACTGTCTTTTATCAGAAAAGCTGTCCTAATATGTGTATAAGAGTATATAATAAATTCCCCAGCGATATTCGAAAACTGCCATTTAACTTCTTTCAAAAAACATTGAAACAATGGCTTATTCAGAATAGTTTTTATTCCCTAGATGAATTTTATTGTTATAGACCAAAGTGATATTTTAATATAATCTTGACTTGCCTTGATAACTGTTGACATGACAAACATTTTTTATTTTTTTATTTTATTTTATTTTGGTATTAAGACTGGATCAAATTTTGTACTATTTCTTGTTTATTGTTAACGTCTATATATATGTGTGTTATTTATCTTGTGACATTTTATTCCTAGGTTTATCACTAAATTGTAATTAATCATAGATATCTATAAAACATTTGTATAGCACTAGACTGACAATTATAAAATTATATATTTGCATGCCACTGGCGAAATATGATTGTACCATACCAAATTATTAATCCTGTAACTACCATATTTCTTGCAAATAAATCATTATTATTATTATTCCCCATCGGTTATCGGTTTTTCGAGCTATATGGCCGGCCCATTGCCACTTCAGCTTACTAATCCGTTGGGCTATGTCGGTCACTCTGGTTTTACTGCGGATATCCTCATTTCTGAGTCTATCACGCAGAAAAACTCCGAGCATAGCCCTCTCCATAGCTCGCTGAGCGACCTTGAGCGTCCTCATACGGCCAGCAGTGAAGGACCACGTATCTGATCCGTAAGTCATCACTGGCAACACGCACTGGTTGTACACTTTAGTTTTCAGAGATTGAGGTATACCTAACGAGAAGATGTGTCGTAATTTCCCAAACGCTGCCCAGCCGAGTTGAATCCGTCGATTGACCTCTCGGTCGAAGTTGGACTTATCTAGTCGGACTATTTGTCCCAGGTAAACGTACTCGTCAACAACTTCGAGCATAATGGTCCCCACAACTACCGGCATAGGTGTGACAAGGACATTGAACATAATCTTTGTTTTGTCCATGTTCATCTTAAGACCTATCCGTTGGGAGACACCATTGAGGTCATTGAGCATAGTGCTTAAGTCCTCCAGCGATTCTGCCATAAAGACTATATCGTCGGCAAATCGAAGGTGAGTGATGTACTCGCCATTGATGTTAATACCGTATCCTTTCCAGTCCAGCAGCTTGAAAACGTCTTCCAACGCAGCGGTGAAGAGTTTCGGGGATATAACGTCACCCTGTCTTACACCTCTCTGCAGTTGGATAGGTTTCGAACTCTTGTTCTGTACTCGGATAGCCATCGTAGCCCTACTGTACAAACACTTCAGCACCTCGATATACCGACAGTCAACTTGGCACCGCTGAAGGGACTGTAGCACCGCCCAAATTTCGACGGAATCAAAGGCTTTCTCATAGTCCAAACACACCTGAGATGTTGAGTGAGATTTAGAGGTTCTATGGGCAGCTGTACACATCATCGTTGCAGCCACACGCAAGTGTGAGTAACGATCCAAGAGCAAGTCTTATCCGACACTATTCCGATGATATCCCGGACGTCAGTCTAAGCGAGATTAGAATGGCTCTCCAGCACCTTAAAAACGGCAGGGCCCCAGGCGAGGATGGAATTACAGCGGAGCTTCTGAAAGCGGGTGGAACACCGGTACTGGAAGTCCTTCAGAAGCTCTTCAATTCCGTCCTCCATGGTGGCACTACTCCAGAGGCGTGGAGCAGAAGTGCGGTGGTCTTGTTCTTTAAGAAAGGCGACAACGCTCTCTTGAAGAACTACAGACCGATTTCCCTTATGAGCCGCGTCTACTTGCTG